AGGTCGATTATTGGATGATAATGTATTTTTAAAAATATACCATCAATTATTTTGATAACAAACTCAATAAATTGAATAAGTTATGAATATTGAATCGACTTTTTTTTTTTTGGTAATATACACGAAGGGCTCGACAAAATGAACGATTCGAATTATCAAAATGGAATCCATAGTGCACCTCACAGGTTTGAACATTGCCTTCTAATCTAGATCATGGATGGAAGAAATCAAGGTCAATTTAATAGCATTAAAAAAATAGTATTAATATAGTATTCAAACTTGCTCTTGTTTTTTTCGTTGAACTTTAGTTATTAGAAGAAAAAGAGAGTTTGGTTTTGAAACATAAATTTGACTTGGCTGCTGCACCCAGCTGGATTGGATGATTGTTACAAGTTATGGCCCCTACCCCGGCCGTTTTCGGGTTAATTATACCAACCTAACTTTATATTTTTATAAAAAAAAATTATTTGAAAAAAAAACTTCAGAATGTAAATCAATTGGTAATTTTTTTTATTAGTTTATATATATATTAGTCAAACTTGAGACTTTAATAATCAAATTAGTAATCCGCAAGTATTTGGGCAAAATTTCCTAGCCTAAAAATGCGTGGGTAGAATTATTCATAAATCAATAGTATGTATGACAAAATTTCGATTAGTAGAGTAACAAAGGCATGCAGGCACCAAATCAAATTGTTTGTATATATTATTATGAGCTACTACAAATGCTCACAAATGGAGGATTAATTTTGATGTCTTTAAAATAAATAAGAGAAATTACAAAAATAATCCTAGCATTTTACCCAATAACAAATTAAAGCTTGTCGTGATATTTTAATTTGATGTTAATCTCAACCATTCGTTAATCTTCGTTTAATGGTTTTAATGGAGAAGGGATAATTTTGTCAATTTACCCCCCCTTCTTGGATACCCCCCCAAAAAAAAACTCTCAAAGCTATATGTGTGTATGCTTTCTAAATCACTGCTAACAAATCTGATAGAATTTCTATTAATTGAGAATATTAAAAATGTTTTATCAAATTGAAGATGTTTTGTACCTTTTATCAAATTATTGTTCATTATCGTTATATTTTCACCACCAGATGTCTCCCAAATATCCTCCCGAATGACCATCTCAAGACAAAATTTTATAAAGATTTTACATTGACCAATCGACCTCCAGGTTGACCTCTAGGATGACCCCTCAATTGGAGTCATAGCAATAGTTACCCTTTTCCTTGAGTGGTATTGGAAACTTCCTCTTAGCAGTTACAGGGGTTGGGGGCATTAGCTTGAGCATCACTACCTTGGCCATTTCATTGACAATGGGAGAAGGACCATTATCTAGAACCAAAATACAAATAAATAAATAATCAGAAAATCAAAGTGCTAAAATTCAAAAAACAACTGTAATAGATGTACAAATTCAAAGAGCATGCATAATAGTAATTATATTTCACCCCAAAAAAAAGAAAAACTATATGAAAATGATGAGTTTTTTTATTTTCTTTCCATTTTATTCAACCAAAAAAAAAAAGTAACAGAATTTGAAAACCAAACCAACGATGACGAGACATTGGAAACAAAGAAGGGCAGCAGCTGTTACCGAATCAACGACGAGGCATTGGAAACAAAGAAGGGCAGTAGCTCATAAGCTGTTAACAAAGTCCTCTTTGAAATAATAATATTATGCATATGGTATTTAGAAAACGGAGAGAATTGGGACAATTTGATTCCATTATACATATTTAGGACTCAAAATGAGCTGTTAATTTTTATATTTAGGACTCAATTTGACTCCATTATACATATTTAGAAAATGGAGAGAGCTATTAATTTTCTTTTTGTTTTTTATGTGCTTTTTAGCCTGGGTTTAGTTTTATTTATTTATTTTGTTTTTTGTTTCTTTGGGATAATAAACCGTAAATGCATACTTTATTTCCTTCTTTCCTCCAATCTTTTTTATCACGCTCCAATTTTAGGCAAAAATTAATATTTGGTTGCAATGCTTATTTTTCATTGCCCATAAATATAATACAAATTTTGTCCGTAAGTATCAAGTATGTCATTGTATCGACACTTCAGATGCAAGATAATCTTGTGTTTTCAGGCTCTTTTTCAGTTAGATGTTGTGAAAAGTTTGAAAAATGGAATATTAGTGAACCTTCTGGGTATGGGTGCTGTTGTCCTTGGTATGCAAGCCTTGCAAAAGCTTTAACTTCTTCGGCCACTCCTTACTACCAAGGCATCTCACCGGGTTACCGCCGTGTGAAAGCTCCTGATCGAAGAACATGAATTTGACTTGGCTGCTGCACCTAACTGGATTGGATGATTGTTACAAGTTATGGCCCCTACCCTGGCCGTTTCCGGGTTAATTATACTAACCTACCTTCATATTTTTATAAAAAAAACTTCAGAATGTAAATCAATTGGTAATTTTTTTATTAGTTTATATATATATATATTTAGTCAAACTTGAGACTTTGATAATCAAATTAGTAATGCGTAAGTATTTGGGCAAAATTTAATAGCCCAAAAATGTGTGGGTAGAATTATTCATAAATCAATAGTGTGTGACAAAATTTCCATTAGTAGAGAGTAACAAAGGCATGCGGGATTGTTTGTATATGTTATTATGAGTTATTACAAATGCTCACGAATGGAGGATTGTTTTGATGTCTTTAAAATAAATAAGAGAAATTACAAAATAATGCTAGCGTTTTACCCCAATAACAAATTAAAGCTTATATTTTTCATTTTTTCAACTCAAATCGTGATATTTTAATTTGATGTTAATCTCAACCATTCGTTAGTCTTCATTTAATGGTCTTAATGGAGAAGGGATAGTTTTGTTAATCTTAACAATCTATTAGGTTGTATGTCAAAAGGCACAGAAAAATACTTGAGATCCTCATTTTTTATAATCTTCACAATTTCTAATTGATTGGTGACCACTCATTATATATATATTCTTTTTTTCCTTTCTCTCTCCTCCCTCTCTCTCGCAAATGATGTGGGGTCTGGAGTATTACTGAAAAGCACACATGGACAAAGGTTGGGTGAGAGAAAATATAAGTACAATTCTGAAAGATAATTTCCATTCATGTTGCTCTGGGAAAGGGAAAATTTTGTATTTTTTGTTTTTTTGTTTTTTTGTTTTTTTGCTAGAAGTAATGAAATAGAAGTGGAAGGGGTGGGAGCATTTTTGTAAAAGAATGTGAGAGAGAGAGAGAGAGAGAGAGAGAGAGAGAGCAAGCAATGTATGGCATTCAAGACAGAAGAGAGTAGCTCAAAACCATAGCCATATTTGGAGTATTTTACTCATCTACTAACTGTTGCTCTGTTAATTTCAGTAAATAGAGATGGATAGATAGTTAAAATTGACATCAAGTTACAAGATCAAGAATCAAATTGATAAAATTAAAATTTCAGATTTTCATTTGTTATAAAGATAAAATCTTGGGGTTTGCTTCATAAATTTCTTTTAAAAAAATATATTCAGTGTGTTTGGTTTCAGTTTTCTGAAAATTGAGTTCTTTGTTTTTCGTATTTTTTGTTTTTAGTGAATATTTTTTAAATTTTAAGCAATTTTTTTATTTTTTTAGATGTACCTTACTTAGATATATCTAAATAATAAATTATTTGTGAAAATTTATTTTAAAAAATTAATAAATACACAAAAATACGAAAAATGTACTGAATTTTCTCTTCTTTTTTTTGTATTTTTGGTATTTAGTGAAATTTTTAAAGATTTTTTTCACAAATATTATACTTTCTAAGTGTATTTATATTAGGTGTATCTGAATTTTTTTTTTAAAAAAAAAAGCTTAAAATATTTAAAAAAATTCAATAAAAACAAAAAATATATATAGAAAACGAAAATGTAAAATTTTTTGAAAAGTAAATTCTAAAAATTGGAAACAAATAGAGTGATTAACATGAAAAACCATGTCTAAATATCTTTCTATGCTCTCAACAATTCAATTTGAAGTTCACTATATGTACCCTTTTTGACTTTATAATCAATATCAAAAAACAGAATTTCTTGCAAATAATAGGTATATTTTGATAGAGAGAGAGAAGAAATGATATAGAAGAGACTAGTTCAAAACCCTAACCAAATGACATTGTTTGGGGTGTGTTCGGTTGGAAATTTAAGAAGATAAATAATTATTTATTTAAATTTTAAATTTAAATATAAAAGAAATGAGAATTCAAAATAATTGGAAATAATTGGAAATAATATATATCAACAGAAACCTAATCGACATAAGCGTGTGACTATCCTTAAGAGTGGGTTTCTATCCCTCTGAATACTTGACCGAGTGCTACAAGTGATGATATCCTACTCTCCAAGATTTAATTGTCGCTTCTCCATGAATATGTATTCGCAATATGAAGGTGTCACGAACAATTCTATTCATCGTTCTAATCTTCAATAACTTTGAAATGGGTAATAAGAGGATACTACATCTTGTTTCTATATCTTCTGGTGAATCTCATACATCCGAAATGTATAGCTATATAAATAGACGACAAAAGCTATAACTTTTGTAATATTGTAAATGTAAAGTTACTAATGTCATTTATATAATATAACATAAAACTCTTGAATTGTAATGGCAAAGTGATATAAGAATTATAATATAGGAAATAAATGTAGAAAAGTTACAAACACCATTAACCGAACGATAAGATGAATATATTTAATTAAAAAGTAATTTAATTTTGTATTTTTAAATATATTTTATTCAAAAATTCTAACATGTTCGGTGTCTAATATTTGCTCCTCCACTAGTTTTAGTAAACATAGATGGATAGATAGTTTAAAATTGATATCTAACTTAGAAGATTGTAATTTAAATTGACAAAATTAAAAATTCATATTTAACTTGTGATAAAGATAAAACCTAGGGGTTTGTTTCGTAAATTTTCCCAACGAATTATGATAACCAACAATTAGGGGTAAGGGCTAATCTCTGTTTGTTAGAAAAGCTGACATGCTCTCACCAATTCAATTTCAACTTCACTATAATGTACCCTTTAGACTTAATATATTTTCAGCATCCACAAAAGAGAAGTTCTTGCAAATAATAGGTATATGACAATATATCATCAAGACATGGTTGAACTTAAAAATGTCACTCTATAGATCTCACAGAAATATAACAAAAAAACAAGAAGCCAAAATAAAAAAAAAAAAAACATTTTAAGAATTGGACTCCGCATCATCTTCCATCTCATTCACAGCTTGAAGGGGACAGCCACTTCCGGGCATAAATCCACTGTCCGAGAGGTTACTATTATTCGGAGGCATATTCCCAAACAGACATACCTGTGGCTCTATCTCATTCAAGCGGTTACAATCATCGGCTGACAAAGACCAGTTGAATATGTCCATGTTTCGTCTTATCCGATCAGGCTTCACGCTACACGGTAGCACACTTGTTCCTCTATGCAGACCCCACCGCAAGATAACCTAATACCAAAATCATAAAAATAAAAATATAAAAATTCTTCAAATCTTGTTCTAACTCACAAACATCCTACCTTGTCCGGAAATTGCCCTAAATGGGGCACTTGCAGACACATACAGTACATGAAAATTATTTGGGAACATGAACTAGAAAGTTCATGCACCGTGGATTACAACATGAAAATATCTTTCCGTACTTTTGACAAAAACCCTTCATTTCGAACGCAACATTCTGTGACACATTTCAGCTATATGCAATTTCAACAAACAGTTAGCAAATACAAACATCATGTCAAACAAAAAGCAATTCCAATCTAAGGACAAGCAAACAGAAAAGAGAAGCTACAGAAAAGAGCTTAGTGTTTGTGTTTCTGCATGTTTCAGTCATCGACATCTAAACATTCAATTTAAGTGGAAGGTAGGAGTTAAAATGTGTGACACTTAATTGACAAAGAACAAAATTCCTTCCATGGATATTTGTTGTCAAAAAAAAATGAGCAAAAACCTTTGATCTGGCTGCTAAAAGGGTAGAACTAAAAATTATATAAAGTAAAACACATGTTTATATATATATATATCATATAGTAACTGGAACTTCACAGATCCATAAGATGCAAAGGAAAAAATGGAAGTAAATAACTTATTTTTACTAGAAACCAACATAATTTGTACTTCATCAATTAGCATTTATTTATATTTCAGAACACTACAAATAATTCTGGAACTTTTCATGAAATTAGCAGTTTGCTTATGGAATAGTTGTATAGCTTGTGATACTGTTCCCCCCACTCTTAGTTTCGGCATGAACAAGTAGGAGCTAGAGCAACTTATTGTCAGAAACTCACTTTGCATGGGAAGTTTCTTTTTTCTCCTTTTTTTTCTGTGTATGTGAGAGAGAGAGAGAGAGGGGTAAGCTAAAGATAAGTTCCAAGTTCATAACTACGAAAGATAATTTTTACAAGAGAAATAAAGCTATCAAAAACCTGTAGTCTCTTGCTGAAGTGGCCAAGGGAAGTGTGGTCGTTAGGGCTGCTGCGAATGAACTGAAATACTCGCCAGCTTGGCTTGGTTTGTTACGTATATAAACAAACTCAAGCAAAAATTTTAAGCTTGTTTATTATTTATTTAAATAATAGTATAATTATATGTTAAATAATATAAAATGCGTCATCTATGTCTATTGTAATATAGAATAATATTTAACAAGCCGACCAAGCTTTGATTATTAAGTCAAACTTTTCCTTCACGATCGAGTATGATTAGAATTAACGAGCCAAGCCCGAGCTTCATTTTCAAGCTCTCTGCTTGGCTCGACTCGACTCAACTCGTTTGCACCCCTAGTAGTCATCATCTTACATGGCTTGATATATCATGCTTAGTACATTCATGAGCGGAGCGGTTCCTTGTGATGGCTGAATCAAAGATTAGAAGCATAACTGATTAGGCAAATTGAAATCGATAGCTTCATTTAAAGAAAAGCTTGTAGCAGTCTATGAAAGGAATTCTAATTACGCATGTCTTTTACTTGTAGAATAGCTATTCAAACTTTGAGATCTCATATAATCACTGAAGATTATGGAGTTATCACTCTGGATTTGAAATCGCAGCTTATATACTTGTAATTGACCATAATTCCCAAGAACATTTTGCATACTTAGAAGGGGGAAGGAATAAGGATTTACCCGGTGTGAGATATCACATTATTCAAGCAACCCTAGAAGCTGCTGGAGTAAAGGATCGTCGACAAGGGCATAATTTCAGAGACAGTAACAAATTTTGGAATAATGGTGGTGGATGCATGAGACCCAGTTACTATTATCTCTTTTTCTGCTTTTGTGTTAAGCTTATCAATTTTCCTTAATAAATGACTCGCTACAACAGGATTTTTTTAAATGAACATGTCACAGATTACTCCTTTTTTCCTTTTGTAAAGACGAATAAAGAAATTCTATTTTCTCTCTATTTTAACAAAGATGAAATTCGGACAGATGCTTCCCCCCACTAGCAACAAATCAATATTGCCAACTTCATTAGGTGGATAACAAGAATGCATTGTTCTAGACAGTGCAAAAGATGAAACAAGATGAAAAAACCAACCGACTTTATTATAGTCCGTATGAGACACTTGGCTTGAAAGCTTATAAAGGATCTCTTTGGACTTCTAGCAATCTTCTCAAGCTTTTTTCAAGGGATTACTATTAGACACAAACTCAAGTGTGTGACACTTCTTGAGAAGAATAGCAACAAAATAGAAGCTTGAGTTGCAAGCTTAGGAAAGCTCTCTTTGGACTTGACTAATCTCCTAAAGCTCTATTCAAGGCTTTGCTGTAGGAAACTCCCACTGGGGTGACGTTTTTGCCCTAGAGCAGCAATTCATCGTTCATAACCAGAACCTCATTCTCGTTGTGATAAAATCGTGGTTCCAACTTGAATGGGACCACTCAAAACATATGAATTCTAAAGAAATAAAAGAATAGTTACCGAAGAAAAAGAAAATATATAGGGAACTGATGTTTCTCATAGATTTTGGTTTTCTTCTTAGGAATTATTTTTTCATAGATCTTTCAACTCGGTTTTGTAAGAATTGAGGAGTACAGATTTATGATATTGGTGATGAATAGTTACTTTGTAATGAGACTGTACAATGTTTATATTTACAAGTTTAAGTGTCAGTGCTACTATAATGTAGACATTTACAATAAACATTACAAATTCACAACTAAGCAACAAAAATACTTGTTACAATATATTTAAATATAATGTGTAAAATACATAAATGCCCCCCCTAAGTATTCCCAACCTTCTCTTCTATGTGACAAGCCCACTTCATGCAACTAAGTTCAATGGTTTACTATGAGACACAAACTCAAGGACATCCACTCTTTTCTTGAGAAGAACAGCAACAGACAGTACCACAGCTCTATTTGCAGAAAACATTGTGGTTAAGAGTTACTATTCTATGAAGCTTCTAGAGTCAAAACTGTTCCAGTGCATAGAATTTGTGTGCTTGGTACTTCAAACTAGATTCTTCTAACAGAAGTTATTGAGTACACGGGAAGACATTTTCATCTTTCAGATTAAGTAAATCGTGTACTTACTCAAGGAAGATATGAAATTCAGAGCCAAGCTAGTTGATACTTCCCCTGAATAATACTAGTGGACAGGAGAAAAAGATGAGATCTACTGGTAATACGGGGTGAAATACTATATCAATTAGCAAGTGGATTTACCCAAATCATGATCACATGAAAGTCAAAGTATCAAGGAGGTAAGGATCAAATTTTCATTTCAGCGTGTTTGTTTTCATCAGCTCAAAAATGAAAATGTGTTGAAAAAACTAGGGGAGATGCCAAAAATTAGGAAAATGCATGGATATGTTTGGATACGATAACCCATTTATTTGTACAAATGCCTTGGATTGATTTTTTAAACATGTTTGAGGCCTACATATCCGCTCAAAGAAAGAGCACTTGCATAAAATGCAGAAGAAATTATCAATGTCAACCACAAGTTTCAATTTTGTCCCAAGTATATATGATACTAAAAGTGCATTACAACATCCCGAAGAAAACAAGGTCTACAAATTTATCAAAATCATAATAATAATAACAACAACTACTACTACTAAAGCTACAACTCCAATGATAAAATTGCAGTAATTAATAATAAACTAGGGTCAAAAAGATAAATAAATAAAACATCATATGGATTCTGATCTGCCAAGATGTCCCCTAGTAAACAAAGGTTATAAGGATTTTTTTAATAAAAAAATGTTAAGAACAAGGTTAAGAAAGTCAAATAAATGATAAGAGACTGAAAGAAAAAATACAAATAAACAAAAGGCTTCAAGGGTCGATGCTTAGTGAGTGGTTTGCCATTTTATGAAAAATGTAAAGAACTCCACATTCTAGAAGCATGCACATGAAATAACAAGTAGAAGAAGACACTTGTAATAGAGCTTAATTCGAAGTTTGAGCCCTAGTGGCTTAACCTTTTTCTCTCTTCTCTGAAAATGGATAATCATCTTATTCATATGAGTGTTGGCTATAATATTTTTAGTTTATTCAAAGAAAATTATAACCAGTGGAGGACAGAACCAATGGAACAAATAAACATTAATCATAGTTTTATTGTGACTAGGTGCACATACTAAAATCAAATGGTACCCGCAAAAAAAAAAAAAAAAAAAACCAATTATACTAACATATAAAAACATACTAATGGAAAACTGAATCAGCTTTTTACCTGTTCAGGTGTCTTTTTATGTCGATCTGCTATTTCTCCAACAACTGACAATTTCAACATTGGGCCATGTACTGATCTCGACCTCCTGAATGATATGCGTGGAGTTCCGGGTTCATCTTCCCCACCGGACCCACTGTCAGACGGTCCAGGATTTGAAGTTGGTACTCCTAATGGTGTGTGAGCAGAAACATGAATACCTTTCGATTGGCAGAATTTCACAAGTTCATCTTGCCTCCAAAATGGATGCAACTCTACCTAGTAAAAGCCAAACATAGATCAGAGAAGAAACATAAACTCCATGGCCGAAAATTCACTCAGAAAATAAAAACAAGAACTTAAAGACCGAAAGATAGATAAAAGAGAAAGGTAAAGTGGCAACCTGTTCGATAATCTTAGTCACTTAAGCCTCCCATTCATGAATTTTGATTTAGTAAGAAAAAATTTCGAAGAAAAAAGAAAGAGTAAACTTGTGATGATCTATAAAGACATACAGAGGTTTGTGCTAACATAAGCAGCAGCAATAACAATAGTAAAAACAAATATTATATTGGAAAGAAAGAAAAGGATGAAGATGAAAAATTACTTAATGCGATTAACCATTTTTAAATTTCAAAAATCATAGAAAGAAAGATCAAAGACTAGGAAAAGGCATCAAAAGAACAAGAGTTTGATTCTGATTCTGATACATTTCCAGTGGAACACATTCATTTACAGGTGGCACAAGAAATATGTTGCGTCACAATAAATATTGATGAATTGTATACAAAACCATCTCCTATCATTTCTTCTCTTTTGAAGCTATTTTTGAGCTATATAAGTGGGATTTTTATAAAACTGGATAACCCATCACTTTGAGGCATTTTTATTGGGTGACCAGAAATATGTTACAAGGCAAGGTCCACGGCCATTTTTGTAAACACAGATTAGCAAATATCTACTTTATACTAAATGGGCTTTGTAAGTTATTTAACAAAAGGTGGGCATTATACTGATCTTGAGTGAAGCTTTTATCAGTATATTATGAATAAAACCAAAAACTAATGCATATCATTGGTTTAATGCCAACAGGAAGAAATCATGAAGTAAATTGCTCGCTACCAATTCCACAACTCCAAAATTTGATAATAAGACGCATCAATGTTGTTTTAAGCCACTCAAACAGTTAATATATTGATTGTATATTCAAAAGTTGTTATGGAGAGAAACTTAACTCTTTTATCCTTTGGTTATGCAGAAAATGTGATATCTTAAACAAAAGAGGAACCTCAAAGAAAAAGGCTAGTTTGGTCTTCTAGCTGTTACTTCCATTGGTGTTCCTTTAAGCTAAAAGAAAAAAGCTCACCGTTATTGATGGGCTCCCTTAAATATACTTATAAGCCCACACCAACTATGAGGTCCTACTCATACTCAACTCATCTCTACAAGCCTTTGTCCCAATTACATGGATCGGCCAACTCTATTCAAAGTCATATTCACAATTAAGTTCAAGTAATCATGTCCTTTCTTATTGCCTCAACATATGTTTTCCTTACCCTTCTATTTCTTTTACCAACATCCACGTGGAATAAATCACTCATCCATACAGGAGTGTTAGTTGGTCTACAATGCACATGACCGTACCATCTCAAACGACTTTTCCTCATTTTCTTTCTCTTATCTTCTCAATTATACATACATACATATATATATATATATATATATTTTCTCTATCCTTCAAAATTTAACTTAAGATAAAGATCATCATAAACCTTCAACTAAACCTCCCTAATTGCTTACTTAGCTTTGGTTCTGGCTACTTTATATCTTCCAAAATTTTTGTTATTCCTACTCCCCTTTTTAAAGTCCACCATCTAGTTTGTAAGTGCCTACTTCCCTTACTCATCCTCTTCCATCTCTTTATTAATACACAAATCTAATACCATTACTTATGTTGTGTGCTGTAAGGCTCTCATATTATTTCTTTACATTCCTTACTTGTTTCCTTTTCAACTCCCCTAGAAAGAAATCTGTCATTTTGGCTAAATATTCATTCCACTTTTAAATATTATTAAGTGTCCATCCCCCTTCTTAAAGTATGTATTCGCCATTATGAAGTCAAATGTCATTGCAAACTCCAGGATAACACTACTTTCATCATTTCTCTTTCCGAATTCAAAACTTCCATGTATTCCCTCAAATCTCACACTACATCTCCCTATATGCCCATTAAGATCTCAGATTACAAGAAAATCTCTTTAGGTTTAGTATCCTTTGAACTAACCAATCCCAATCCTCCCAAAATTGTCATTTAATAGATGAGTCTTATTAACATGTGCCCTTAGGGCAAATGTTAAGATGGTTTAAAAAGATCGTACATCTTCATTGCACGCACTTTTATGCAAAATGTACAATCTTTTTAAGATTCTTTTTTTGATAAATAATCTTTTTAAGATTTTTGACATGTGTCCCAAGGACACGTTAACAAAATCCTTAATAGATTCATCTAATCCTATTTGGGGTGTATAAACACAAATTATATTTAATGTCTCTTCTCCTAACACAAATTTCACTAATATTATCTATCTCCTTTACTTTTAACCTCTATTTCTCCTTCTTTCATATTCTTATCTATAATTATCTCACTCAAATTCATATATTTCTCTTTTCCAATATGCCAAAGTTTATATCATTTTTTTCCATTTTCCTAAATTTTTTCCCAACCCATTAGGTTTCTTGTAAATAAATAATATTAAACATCTTTCTAATCATAGTATTTACTACTTCTATCTCTATCCCTCTACCAATTAATAGTCCTATATTCCAAGTTCCTAAGCATATCCTACTCTCTTGGACTACCTAAGTTACCCACATTTATCCATTAAAGTGTGGGAACCCTTGCCTACTTCTCACAATGCATGGGCACCATGCAGCAGCACGTCACAAGTAGGGAATGCCCCAACTAGAGAATTCTTAGGATCCACGTTGTAAAGATGAGACTATTAGTTTTACATTGATTGTCAACCCACCGCAACCTTCCTCCTTTCTCCAGACTTTGATTAAACATTAAGCACAACATAGGCTGAGTTAGGTCCTACCATCTTACCAATGACTTTCATTGTGAAGCATTTACCCACGAAAATAATATATGGCAGCCGCTATGAAGCAAGTGATCAAATTTTTCAAGTTATTTTAACCCTCCATTGAATCCATTCATCTAAAAGTTGCAGCCATTTGATAGCAAGTGTTGTTTACGCAAGATTGTGTAGTAGACTTGGATCCTATTGCAGTAAAATATTTATTTATTGTATGTAGATTATATGGATAATTAAATACATAAATTGTCTAGCACTCCTTGGTTGTTACAAACAGTTTGGTTGGAGTCATTGGAATCCTCTATTAGAGTATTTTTTTTTAATAAGGATTAGATGATCTAAACAAGTTGCCTGTAAATAACTTCTGATTTTAGAAATTCTTACTTATATAATGTAGATGATGTATGACTCTAAGGGATTAAGATGAGTCATGCTTGCACTAGAGGAGATCCTATCCCTCTCTAATGTGAGTCAAGTGGACACCCTTCCCTCTAATTTGGGTAATAATTGTTGCTGGGGTTGGGGTCCTATAATTAGCAAAATAGTACTTCCTATGCATGCCAACAAAGACAAAGAAATTAACAAAAATAGAGGAATGATCTAAGAAGCACAGACAAAGAGATGGGATATGGAAACAGCACAATAAGGACACGACGGCCCGCTTCAAAAAAAATCAACATATGAACATATTGGGTACGTGGAAAAAATTAATATATTATATATATATGAAAATAACAAATTATTTATTTTCTACGTAAATATGTTGGAAAATAAGTGTGGATAATATTGTGTCTTTTTAAAGCCTGAAGTTCAAAAACAAATTAGGAGTGTTAGGGCTTAGGTTTTAATCAATAAGAAAGCTTAAAGGGGGAGGAACTAATAGGTATAAATCCATATTTCTTTTAATTTTGATCTTTCATGTCAATTTAACTTTTTCCAAACTTGCCCTTAATCCTAGAAGTGTAATCATGGATTGTTTGGGATGATCTAAATAATTATATTTTTTGACTTTTTACGAAAAGATGTGCAAAAAAATAGAGAGGTGATGTAACCCAAAAAAAGATAAAAAGTGTTCGAATATAGGTTATCCCAAACACCCTCTCAGTGTTCAAGTGTCTCATGAGTGTCAAAATAATAGACACACGTGTCCCCCACATATCGACAACATGTTTAATCAAGTATTAAGGCTTCCAAAGGTTCAGTATATCTTTGACCTAACTCCTCCCTATCCCCCAGTTAACAAGAACAAACTGATTAATGAGAACCAACACCGACTAACATCAATTCTAGTAAGACAAATTTGGACACATGCCCGACACAAGTTGACTTTAAGCACACCACCCTAGGAGTTGTGTTTGTGTTGACTAGGAAGGAATGAACTCACTAGAATAAGTGGTGGCAAAGATCAGGTTTCTTATGAATGAAACACTTGATATGATTCAATAGTCCTTGAAGTGACCCTTGCCTCAAAGTCTTAATAGATTGGATGTAGGTGAGACTCATTTAGGGAAACAAGGTCTAATAGAAGGTTGAACCAAAAGGTTTTCTTGGACTGGCCTTTCTCGTTTTGATGCAAAAGAGCCTCTACAATATATACAACTCTAAACAGCATTTCAACTAGCATGGAACAATGAAGAGGATAGTCTTTCTTGTTTCAAGTTTGCGTAGAGAGTGTAACATTCACATGGTTTTAATGGCAAAAACAACACCAAGGCTGATGTGGCAATTTATCATGAAGCTATATTACTTAGATTTGGACCACCAAATTATGAACAATTTGATGGCACCATGCAAGCCTAAAAGAGAGCGGCCTTTGAGCAACAATAAGGTTGCTCCACTGCAAATTAAGAGTTGTGGATTCAAACCACTTAGACAGCCTCTCTGTATTGTGGCGGTAAAGTTGCATACATCTTTCCCTCCCCAAACCCTGCATTGGCAGAAGCCTTGTGCACTAAGACTGCCCTTTTGAATCACAAATTGTGTAGAAGGATGATTTGAGGGGACTTGATAGGAAAAAGGCCTTTAAGATTAACTAGAAGGTATTAAATTTTTGGCCTTCCACTTTGAAGGACCATAGGATTAGCTTTTCAACAAAAAAAAACAATCACAAAACCCACATAAAACAAATCATTATCCATACATCTACTTAATTAGATCTTAGCTTATCAGTAATGGTAGTGTAGCATAAGGAAGGTTAACCTAATGTGCGTTGAATATAATCATACTCTCCTACTAGCACAAACGAAACGTGTTAAAGACTTGTCCCACATGACATCGTCTATCTAAGCCACCCAAGCTTAATTATAATCTAAAGGTCCATCCACCTAATACCATTTGGTTTTAGGTTGGATGCCTCCAAAATTCTAACATGGTATCATAGCTATGTCTTGGGTAGTCGCTCGAGGGCCAAGTCCTGAGTTAATTTATCGCGTCTCTGATCTCTTTATCACCTCCACATACAACCAGGCCGCATGTGCAAGAGAGTGTTAGAGGGTTGTCCCATATTGTCTCTATAAGTGACTTGAGTTTGATTATAATCCAAAGGCCCCTCCACCTAATGCCAACTGGTTACAATAATATATTTGTTTATGCTTTCTACTTAAATAAATCAAAGAGATAATTGAATAAACAATTTTTTCTCTCATTACTCTGTTGTCAAAGATATCTTAGTAGGTTGACAGTTGTTAGAATAGTCTAACAAAGTTGTTTTGATAGGATTGTTAATTTGCATATGTTATATTATAGTTAGCTTGTTACCATTAGGGACACTTTCCATATATGGTGTGGATGCCATATTGTTTGCAACTGAGGACAAGTCATTTGAACAAATTGTGCTTGCACAAAGAGACACCCATCCCCTAAAGGGGCTATATGTAACTTTCAATTTGAAGAAAAATTTTCATTCTCATTTTTTTTTCAAGGATAGAAAAATGAAAACCGATACAAATTTTTGGGGAATTTTCTAAAAAACACACTTTTTTAGGATTTTTTATATTTTCAAAATTTGTTTTCTCACAAAAATGAAAACAATACCCAAAAAATAATTTGAATGCCACCGCAAACAAAATTCCTAGAGTCACCACTGATTGACATTCATAATACATTAACTAAAAATACAAGTTGTAATTCAAAATCAGCTAAAATCACAATTCAAAAATCCAAGAATAAGGAGTCAACCTGATTGACTGCTGGAACCATTTTTGCAAACTTAAGCAATTCTTTTATCTGCTCTATATTAAAATGGCTCACGCCAATGGCTCGAACTAGACCCAACTCCACCAGACCTTCCATTGCTTTCCATGTAGTCTTGAACCGATTCAGAAACTGCCTATACTCACTCCCTGACTTAGTAGGAGGATCAGTAGCATCTCCAAATGCCGAGCTCTCAGGCCAATGCATCAAATAGAGATCCAAGTATGACACTCCAAGATTCTTAAGAGATACTCTAACAGAATTCTCCATCTTATTGAGTGAATTCATAGTGCAAAAAATCTTAGAAGTTAAGAAAACATCCTCCCTCCTTAAAGATCCTTTAAAAGCTTCAGAAAGTGCCTCCCCTACTTCAATCTCATTCCCATAAAGCCGTGCACAATCTATGTGACGGTAACCAACCGATAACGCAGTTTTCACAGCCTCAACGCAGAGATCACCGCCACTCTGCCAAGTCCCAAGCCCTATGGCTGGAATTTTGTCCCCCGTGTTCAACAGAAAGAAACTTCCTGTTGTCCCAACTTTTCCTTTCATCTCTCAAATTTCTTGAAAATAACAAATGGGTGGGAAATTAAAACACCAAATCTCACTGCAATGCCAAATGCAAAGCAAAACAAGCCGCAGTTTTCAATGCGAATCAAAATTCTACTAAGATTCAGTAATCCCAAGATCTCAATGGAAAACCCAACAACAACAACAAAAAAGTAGAATAAAAAAGCAATAACTACCCAGTTCAGACAAGATCAAGATCAGATCAGAACTGATTTAAAAGTCTAAAAGGAAGAAAACAAGAGATCAATCCTAATCGAAGAAGGAAACCAAATTGAATTACACAACAAACCCAACAACTGTTTGTTGAAATATCTGAATGAAACCCAAAAGCCAATGAACAATGGAGAAAGGATTAAACAAGTCTGCATAAGAGAATAATTCAATAGACGGCACCAAATTGAAAGAAAGCCCAAGGAAGCAAACAAATGAACCTTTTTTCTTTCCCCAGAAAAATACCTACTTTCCCAGAAAAATACCAAAAACCCAGACCTGTTTTGTGGATTTGTAGGTGGGTCAACAAGAGAAAACTCCCAAAATACAATACCCAAAAAAAAAAACCACTAATTGGGATGTAAGAATCAAAACCTTGATGTCTCTCTCAAAGTCACTATCCCTGTTTCTCTTTCTTGCCCAAGGACAATAATACAATTGTTGGTGTATATATTATTATATTCTATTGCATATTGTATGTATTGAGACTATGACAAAAATATATGTATTGTAGAGAGAGAGAGAGACAGAGAGAGAGAGATTAAAGAAATAAAATTTTTCAAAGTTTCCACCTAACAGAGAAGACTGAAAATCCACCAGCCACCAACCAAACTTACTTAACGACAACATTCATTGACAAGAGAGAGAGAGAGAGAGCTGCATTGGACGTTTCTATGTGCCTAGGGCTCAACGTGAGAATATTCTGCGCGCGACGGAGAGAGAGAGAGAGAGAGACGGAAGTAGCCACTGGGGGCCAACGTTAAAAACAAAAGGGTGTGGTTGGTTTTCTCTTATGGGCAAATTGTATCAATTTTAATAATTAAAATTATAAAAAAAAATTAGGGTAAATTACAAAAACATTTCTTAGAATTTATTTAAATTATAAAATACTTTTTACAGTTCTAAAAATTAGATTATACCTCTTAAAATTTTTAATTTCATAATAAATAGGTCATTTTATTAATAAATCATCAATTAATTAACAGTTTTTAATAATGTTAAAATCTTATTTCAATTAATAATTCAAATAATTTTTTTATTATATAGGTGGACATTTAAAAATTTTACTTTTTTATTTAATTCAGCTAAATAAAAAATTTTGACAATGAGGTATTTGTAATTTTTCAAACCACAGAGGCAATTCGTATTTTAAACAAATTTCAAAGGTGTATTTGTAATTTACTTACTTTTTTATAAATTTATAAATATTTTGGAAAGACCTTATTGATTTGTAATTTCTCCTTCATTTATTAATTATGGGAAATTCTATGTTACACAGTTGTGTATTATATATATCTTATAACGTGTTTTTTTGTGTATTACGTATTTTTATGACAAATGTTATACATTTTTTTTTGGTAGAAGTTACATATTATGTATTTTGTGATATTGTTATACACCATATGTTTAGAAAATATTTGGATAAAACAATATGTAACATTACCACAAAATATATAATTTTATTTATAAATCACAAATTATCGTAATTCATACCAAAAAAAAAATACATAATATTTATCATAAAATTACATAACAAATGCATACACCCCATTTGGTGTTTCCCTATTAGTTAATACTTGTTTTATTTAAATTTGAATAAAATTTTGAGTAGAGAACTTTATTTAAATATAATTGATTAAAGTAATGCTCCTAAATGACTAATGAATATCATCTTACTTATCAATTTTTGAATCCGTGTTTTTATATGTTTGAATATCATCTTAAAACACTAATTGAATTAATCCCAATTAGTGCTTTTATAACTTCTTACATATAACTAACTATATCCGTTATATGTTTGAGTTGGATATCGAATTGAGATGATCGGATATCGTTAGTTATAAAAAATTAACTTCTTATATTTTACTAACGATATCCGATCATCTTAATTTGAAAAATCCATAATCCATAAGTTATAAAAACATATATCGGATATCGGATATCGTTAGTTATAAAAAATTAACCATCCATTTTGTATAATATAAATATAATTCAAACATATAACTAACTATATCCGATCATTTTAATTTTTTTTGTAAATATTTTACTCAATAAATTTTGAAAGGTGAATAGTTTGGCCTTAAATAAGTCCATCAAGTCCAAACATTTTTTTAAGTTGAAATGGCAACTTAACAGATTCCAAATCACTGTAACATTCATCCATACAAATGCTCCTTTTGAAGGGGTCTGATATATTTTTATAATTAAAGAGATAAAAATATATAAATTTATTAATGAGAAAATAAATAATATTTGTTAATAGTTAAGATAATCTTCTTATAATTAGCCCTATTAATATCAACCACTTCTTTACTAACAATCATAGAAGTCCGACAATTAACCGATTTGAGTAAAAGTTACACTTTTATTTTTTTGGTCAAAGAGATATGAGTACAATCAATTTATTTAAGATATTTTTTTTTTTTGGTCAATAATAAGTGAGTATTTATTTTCAAATATAAAATCATAAGCCAATCAATCAAATTTACAAAAAGCTACATAATCTAATAAGAGAAAGTGTTACCTTATATATCCTATTTAATTGTCACATTATTGTATTGAAAAATTTAGTTTAATTTTTGGATTTAAATAGCAGTGCTCTAATAGGGGTGCTCGCGATTTGAGTTCGGTCGGGTGATATTCCATCCGCCATCCATTCAAAACTAGACAGATTGAAAAAAATCAATCTACATCCGTCCACTTAGTTGGCGGATGCGGACGGATACAAATTGAATGGATTGACAGATTAACGAATGAATGCAAGCGGTTTAGCGATTTAAACTTTACAGATTTTGAGCATTTTTTGACTTATAATTTACTACTTTTAAGGCATAATTTAGGCCCAAATTTTGTTATTCTTCTTTATTTTTAAAATTATCAACATATTAGATAGTGAGGGAGGATTTAAAAAAACAGTTTAAGTGATTTAAAAAGGCTCTTAATAATGTAGCCCAACCAAAATAATAAGCAAAATAAAAATCCATTGAAGAAAAGTATGGAATGGTTTTCTTTTTTAGGGTAAGGAAAATGAAAACCCATAAAAGAAAACTAATAAATGGTTCAACTCAAGTACATTAACAAACAGATTGTTAATCTCAGTAGATTAACAAACAACAACATTTAATATTTAACAAACAAAAATATAAGAGAAGAAGAGAAGAAAAGAAGAGGAGAAGAGAAGAAATTATTTAATAATAGTATAAGAATTAAGATATATTTATTTAATTTATTTTTATATTTTAAGATACATTACTAAATATATTTATTTTTATATTGTTAAAATATTAATTATATAATGTTTGAAAGAAAATAGGGCAAATTACCAACACTTCCCGAGGTTTGACTAAAATATGGATTCTCCCCTAAAGTTTGAGAAATTACATCTCGCCCCCTGAGATTTATATTTGCATAACAAATTGCCTCATTATTTGTTATGCAAATATAAACCTCATGGGGCAATTTATAATTTCCCAAACCTCAGGAGAAATCTGTATTTTAGTCAAACCTCGAGAGATGTTGGTAATTTACCCAAGAAAATATTATAAAAATATATATTTAGCTAATATAAACCAAAGTTAAAGATGACATAACACTAAATTGTTACATATATAATAAAATATAATGAATACTATAAATATTATATTTTTACTATCTATATAATAAGGGAAGAGGGTTTTTGAATTTATCTTAGAGACAATTGTCCTATTAGGACATTTTAATGGTCATGATTTATTTCTATTTTTAGATGGACAGCTGAAATGAAAACCTTCCCTCTCACTCTACTTGAACTTCCCACCCAAGACCAAAAGCTACAAAATTTGCAACCCCCTATCCTCATTTGTCACACTCTCACCTTTCTGCATTTCAAATTTCAAAACACACCAATCCAGTCCCTACAGAAAAGAGACCCACGCTCATGAACCTCTCTTTATAAACTCCCCTCCTCCAATCATCGCCACCGCACAAAGAGAGAGAAAGCGAAGATGGGTGGAGGAGGAGGAGATCACGGACACCACGGAGATGCAGCACACTGTGGAGACTTTAGAAACAAAGTATGGAGCATGACCGGTGGTCTGTACTGCAGACCCAAGCACTGGAAGCGCAACACTGCCATCGCCGTGGCTGGTATCTTCCTCATCTGCATCCCCATCGCCATGAAATCTGCCCAACTCGAGGTCCTCTCTCTCTGTCTCAAAACCCACATTTCATTTTGATTGTTTTACTTTGCAAGATCTGAGTTTTTATTTCGATGATACAATGTTTAATTGCAATTAGGTTTTGGGTTTTGTTCAAAACGTTATTCGCAATTTTTCATGATCTGGGTTTTGCAATTTTTATTGTTATTGTTATCAAAATTGATGATGAGTAAAACTTTATAGGATTAATTATCTGTTTGTGTTTGATGTCATTGTTTTAGTGTACATTGATGCAAGTTTTGGTGTATAGAAATTGGTCTAATACAGAGGTCTGTTTGGGAGTAATAAAAGTCCCATGATATTGATATGAAATTACTATACTCTTTCGCTAATTTGTTTCCATTCAAGTTTTTTAATGGCCTACGGATGTAATGAACGGTTCAGAAATTATTTGTTTGGAAGTTTTTCTTTGACTATATTACTTTGTAGCTTGGTAAGACCGTAAGAAGAAGACATCTGAATGCCAAAAAAGTCGGGTTGGGACTACATTGAGGATAAAGGGTGCTCTCATAGGAGTGGTGTAATGTTCAAATCCACTTATTCCAGCCTCTTTCTCTCCCTCTCTCTCTCTTTTTT